ACAGTTTGTCGGCTTTTTCTCAAAGGCTCTGATCCAGTCCAGGGATCCACATCAATTTTCTAAATAGGGTTTGTTTCCAGTACATCATTTGTTATCTGGAACCCTGAAAAGTGTATGTGTGCTAGAAATGTATACATAATAATAGAGAATATGCTGATCTACATGTTACTTGGTTTGTATGTCAACTCAAGATTCACGCAGTTACGCTGTAAAACGCATCCCTTTCATACAGCATTCCTCTTCTGAGAATTAGAAAAAAGCAAGATTATGTCAGTCGGGTTTTCTGTATCCTCCAAAATAGTCGTAATTAATGCTAAACCGTGCACACAGAGCCAAAGCTTTAGTCATGGCCTTGTTCCAAGAATATTTTTGTCTCCTGGGATTCTCCGAAAGACTTTATGTAACAGATCGATTTTGAAGCAGCCTACGTGGAGCATGCGAGAGAGATGCCCTCCCATTTGTCTCTATTAATAACTCATATCTGCACCATTTTTAAAAATTGATGCATTTATTTGGAAAAGGAACCCCCAAAAATCTTTTTAGAAGATGGTTTTTAAAAAAACAAAACAAGAAGCAATAGAAACATCATACATAATTGTCAGACTTGAGACACGAACAAGATGGAACAAACACAATGAACTGCATAGGACTGAATCCATGTGTTGATCATAACTTGTTTATTACCTGGAATTCTCCTGCTTTTCTTCAAAGAGAAAAGAAAGCCTACCATGTTTTTTTAACAGAGCTTAAAAAGTGATGTTGTTTCAATTTATAAACTGCCCCTTATTGTTGACATTGTCAGATTAAATAACGGACCATTTATAGCACATAGCTGAGTAATAGCATCATGCATACTTAAATCAGTATTGTTGAGAAAATTAGGCGTGCTCATCAGAATCACGTTTCCGAAGGTTTTTATTTACTCTCCGTCCCCCACTCCAGAGTCCGATAGTGTTCTTCTTGTGTAGGGTTCTCTGTATAAAATCAAACTTAAAACTAACTTTAATCCTAACTTTATGTAAAGTAATGGATGTGAAGTGCTGAATCCTTCTAAAGGCATGATTTCAGATGCACCAGATGGAGTTGGGTATTTAAGATAAGGGTGGACATTTAGGATTTCCTACATCCTCTGCTGGTGGTAAGCCTTGGGTGATGGCAGGTCATGGATTTTCTTCCAGCCTTCCATGGTGGGTGAAACCTGTACCACACAGAGAGGAAACCCCAAACATCTTTGACATGAGGTTGCTCAGGGAGGCCTAATGGCGGGACTGGATTCCAGCGCCTCGCGGCTGAGCTTCCATGCACCTGGTCTGTGGCAGGCCTTTGACAGCGTTCAGACATTTAGAAAGGGGCTTGAGCAGGGGGGGGCACAGTGGCCAGCAGTTCAACTCTGTTTCCAGCTGAGCCTGTTCTGCAGCTCTGCTTCCTTTACTGGCAGCTGTTTTGCTTCTTAAGATGGGAACGTCACTCTGGTCAGCTAGCAAAAGTCTCAGCTGCTCAAAACGTGTGATGTCAACAGAGAACTGCTTTTGCAGACTTTGGAAGACTTGTAAAAGTTTGAGTGAGATTTTCAGTGGGAGGATGCTGCAAGGGTCCTAAGCTGGCCCAGCTCCCTGTCCTCTGGTGCCCAAACATTGACTAGATCATCAAGTGTAAGGATTGGGTCTCTGGAGACCAAGACCATCCACACAGTCATGTTTCTGATCACTGTGTATAGGTGTGAAAGCTGGACAGTTAAGAAATCTGACGGGGTGAGAATGGTTCATTTGCAATGTGATGGTTGAGCAGAGCTTTGCAGATAACTCTGGACTGCCAGGCAGACAAACAAGTGGGTCGTAGATCAAATCAAATCTGAAGTTTCTCTGGAAGTAAAAACGTTGAAACTGAGGCATGTCCTGAGAAAGCAGGATTCCCTTGAAAAAGACCATCATCCTGGGAAAGGTGGAAGGCAGCAGGAGAAGAGGAAGACCCCATGTCAGATGGACTTTCCTAAAAGAAGCCACCGGCGACTTGACAGCACATAACATAACAATGATCAAAGGCAAAATGATCACCCTTGGATGGCATTATAATGCCAGGTGTGTTCCTGGGACATGAAGACCATCAGCCTGTCCAGAGAACGTCAACCATAGAAACCGCAGCAGCAGTCCAAACCGCCTGCTGGCGGATCTCTGGGTAAAGGTGCCTCTTTTTCCTCAAGGACTGAAGTGCGAACCCAGTTTGGACCCTGTGTTGGCCTGCGGGAGTGCAGGATCTCAACCGCTCGTGGCCGACTTGGCAAGAACCTGCAAGCGTTTGGACCGGTCCCCAGTTGCAGACGGGAGCCCCTGCCTCAGCCCACCTCTCCCCCCCCCCGGGGCAGGTAGATTGGACTCCTTTTAGGCTCGGTGAAGGAAATGCCCGGTGTCGGAGTGTCTGAATATTGATGGCTGTTCCGTCGGCCTCAAAGGACCTCTCGGTGACCCTACTGCCCTGAGCTTCGTTAGCTAAGACGAGGATTATTCCACTAGGGATGTGGCCAAGTGATTAAATTAAAACTTGATCTTGATTACTTGTGTGGCAGGAAGATGACCTGGCCAGGCTAGCCTCCCAGGGAACAGCCCTGGTATCTCTCCCTGTGGCAGTGCCAAGGAGGAGGATGGAAGGATGATGATGCTTCTGGGGGTGCCCACTTCGCTTCCTCCCATCACTGCCAAGCTTCCCATAAGATCCTGAGCCTTCCCTTAGGGCTGGAAAGCTAAGCCATTTCTTTTCTTTTTTTAAAAAAGGACAGCTTGCAATGTTTACTGGCGCTACATCTCAGCCGCAAGCGCCAGAGGCGTCAAGGAAAGCCACCTGGCCACCCTTTAGGGAGCTCTTGAACACGTGTCTCCATCCGGGCTGTTGAAGCTTGACTTCCGTGCCCTTAAACACCACACCTGCTGGTAATGCTGGACTGTCTTCTATGGGAATACTGCCGCTTTAACAACATGTAAATATCCTGATTATTTCTTCACTTATAGCAAGGATTAGGCAATCCGTGGAACCCTGTTGCCTGCTTTATCAGCTGAAAACCTAGTTAGGCATGAAAAAAGAACTTAGCTGACGGTTGGACAACCTTTATCTTCCAGACGACTCAGATGTGAGTTTTGCAACGTGTTCTGTTTTCCTCTTCTGGGGCATCACACCGTTGCCTTTCAGAGCCAAAGGGGGCTCATTCTCATCCTCCCTCCCATGTCTATCACACAGCTCAGGCAGGATGATGGCTGTAGTGGGCCATGATGAGCCAGTGGCACTCCTGGCCCTCATGAGAAGCCCAGCGGGTGATGGTCGTTTCCATTTGAGGTCGTCTGGGTCTCTGGAGTCTCTGTGGCCGAACCATGTCTGGTGAACTCTGGCTTTTCTCCCTTCATGCGCGAGGCTGCAGGGCAGGGGATCTGGCCCCTCTGCCAACCTCTTCAGATCAGCTGCTGGCGGTGGTTTGAATTGCAACCAGGGAACCCTTCCTTCGGGCGGAAACATGGGCAGGACTTGAGAAAGTTGCTTTTTCAATGTCATCTCCCCAAAATGGCTTAGCAAGCGGTGTTCGCAGACGTGCTGCCTGCCAGATGCCGGAAGGGCAAAAAAAAGGTAACTTCCCCCCGGCGTTCTGTGGTCTCTGGACCCTCACAGAGGAGCCAGGGTTTGATGCAGCTTCCTCTGGCTCATTTCTCCCTGGTCAGCCCAGTCCCTCCCTCCGAGCCCTGAAGAAGAAGAAGAAGAAGAAGAAGAAGAAGAAGAAGGGCAGAGATAATGGGATTTAAGCGACCTGCCGAAGATCCTCCTGCACGAAAGGAAATCTCATTAGCTCCTAAATCACTTCGGAGGTTCTGTCTTTGGAAAGAGGCAAGGGTAGCAGAACCGAAAACAGAGCCAGCACTTGAGACTGGAATCAGGCTCTGAAACGAATCCATGCCGGATTTCCCAAGCGTTGGAATGGCTCGCTGGACCCCCGTCTCAAAGTGGGGCAGAGGAGAGCATGTACACGGATCACCCACCCATCGATCGGTGTCTACGAGTTACCCAGACCCAGAAGGAGGGGATCCAAGAGCAGGCAGAACAGTAATTGCCCTTGAGGAGGAGTGGGTCGCGGGGCGGAGAGGAGGGGGTCAGTCCCGAACCCAGGGTCTTGTGTTCAAGAGTTCCAGGACACAACTGAGCTGGAAACAGGGTAGAACAAGCGTCGGTTTCACTCTCCCGGGTGACTTGGAACAGAGCAGGGGAAAGAGGAGGCAAATTTTAGCCAAGTGTCCTGTGCTCCAGGCCTCTTACACCTGAGTAGTTCCCTCTTCAGAGGTGCTCTGAGCTGGTTCAGATGCCTGCATGCCTTTGTTCCTTGCGCCGTGTGCATTTCTGTGCCCTCCATTGGCCCAGCAGAGATCCTCAGACTGGCAAACCATGGAGGGAATGGGCACCGGGTGAGCCCAGTTTCTTCCCTGCCTTTTTTCCAGGTCCTGCAGAAAACGTTCCTAATTTTCATAGGGCAGACCCTAGCGGGAGAAACAGGAAGGAAGGAAGGATAGGAAGGAAAGGAAGGGAGGTAGGGATAGGGAAGGAAGGAAGCAAGAGGAAGGAAAGAAAGGAGAAAGAAAGAAAGACAGTGTGCCGGAAGGGGAGGAGAAGTGAGAGAAGAGAGCACAAGGGTGCTGCCAAGCATCAGGATTGTGAGTAGCCAACTCCTCTCTCTCTCTCTCTCTCTCTCTCTCTCCCTCTCTCTGTGTGTGTGTGTGTGTGTGTGTGTGTGTGTACTGAGAGATGCAAGAAGGTCCTGTTTGCTAAAGAAGCTAAGCATGCAGAGGTGACCAAGTTGCAGTGTGTCTGTTTGTAGGGGGGGGGTGTTCTTTTGATCCGTTGCAAGGCTGGAGGGGGGGAGAACAGATGGCCTGTTGGGTGTTTTGGGTCTCCGGGGGGGGGCCCTCCTCAGAAGGACTTGCTGGGCCTTCGTCTCCAACCCTCTTCTCCCCTCTCGGCTTCCTTTCCAGTACAGTGCTGTGGACAACAACCCGCTCTCCCTCTACGTGATGCACCCCTTCTGGAACACGGTGGTGAAGGTGAGTGTGTCCCTCTGCTCGCTCTGGGTTCCTGTGCTTGCCGCTGGTGGAGCTCCGTCTGGGCTTGGGGTGGGCCACTTCCCGCTCCTGTCCCTGGAAAAGCCAGCCCCCCCCCCCGCCGTCCGAGCCCTTTCTGGCCGGCGTGAGGAAACAACCCGCCAGCCTCTGGTCTCTGGAAGGACTTCAAGGCCTGCCATCCTTGCGCGGCCGACGTGAGGAAACAACCCGCCTGCCTCTGGTCTCTGGAAGGACTCTATCGTTTCCAGATGCCGTTGGCTTTAAGGCCTGGCATCCTTGCACTCCTGACCGGTGGCAAATGAGAGATCTTGGTCTTGTCCGGGAAGGGCCGCTTGTGCTAATTAACGTCTCTTTTCTGCGTGTGTTTTTACTGCTTACCCCATAGATTTTCCCTATGTGGCTGGCCCCAAATTTGATAACGTTTTGCGGCTTCCTGCTGCTTGTCTTCAACTTCTTCCTCATGGCGTACTTTGACCGCGACTTTTATGCCTCTGGTAAGACTTCTTTTAAAGTGCATCCAAATGTTTCTCAGTATTTAGAACGGTGAAAATTGTGAGGTGGTTGCTTATACCTCTGAGTCAGTCAGTCAGTGTCCAGTGGGGTCTCCTTTTTTTTAACGTGTGTTGTGTGTTGCTGTCAGAGTCCAGTCCCTGCTTGCAAGAGCAGATGCCTGAGAAACCCATCACCAGTGGGGCCTGGAGTATTGGGTGCTTTGCTGCAGGGCTGCTCTGGAAAATAGGAAGGGACGTGCCGGGTGGGTGCACGAACCCTTCCTTAGATCCATTTCCTCTCCCCCCTGCTTCTCTTGTTTTAGCTGGCAGCAGGGGAGAAGGGGACGACAGAGGATGATGAGATGGTTGGACAGGGTCACCAAAGCGACCAACATGAATCTGACCCAACTCCGGGAGGTGGTGGAAGACAGGAGGGCCCGGCGTGCTCTGGTCCGTGGGGTCATGAAGAGTCGGACACGAATAAACGACTAAACAACAACAACAAGGGGAGAAGGGACAGGCAGGAGAGCAGGATGGAAGCAGGGTTGGGGGGGTGCCATCTTCTTTTTCATCATGCACCTCTTTTAGAAGCCCCGGCCAAGGTACAGGGCAGCTTTGGAGGGCCAGTTTTTTCACACATTGGATCCACCGTTGGCCTCGCCGCTGTCAAAGAATCCAGACCAGAAGTGGTTTCAGAGAATTTTTTGGAAGGACAGACAAGGGTACAAGAGTGTCAGCATTTCATTTGAAGGAGAATTTTTATTCCTAGAGATTGCAGGGGTGGCGTCTCCGTCCTTCCTTCCATTAAGTGTGTGATAGAAACCCCCCCCCCCAAAAATAGCAGTATGGTGGGGTCAGGTCTGCTCTTGAGGGCTTCAGAAACAGGCAGTTAGCTGCCTGAGGTCTGCAGGGAGTGTGTTGCCCACGCTGGCTGTCAGCCATCGGAGAGTGAAGAGTGGCAGATGTCTCGTCTCTGGCTTCCCCACTTGGCCAGTCATGCCATCTTCCGGAAGGCTCCGTTCCATTCTGCCATCCCCATCCCTCTGAAGGAATATTCAGTGGCCACGGATCCAGCTCAGCTCCCTCCTTGGACCGTACGCAGCCCCGCTGGTGAATGCCAGCCCCGGGTCTTAATTGGGCCAGATGTGTTTTCCTAGAGGATGTGTTAAATCTCCTCTCTCTTCCGCCCCCCCCATGGTTTTCTTTTTGCAGCGCCGGATCAGGAGCATGTCCCGAGCGGAGTGTGGGTCGTCGTGGGTCTCCTCAATTTCATGGCTTACACGTTAGGTAAGAAAGGCTGATTTTATGCCTAACGGGCAAAATAGGTAGTTAAAGAGGGTCGCTGTAGAGTTGATGAGGGTGGGAGCAGGACTGCCGCCAGTCCCCGGCCAGCTCCTGTCACCGAGCCGGAGAAGGCATGAGGCATGCAAACCTCACCGGCATCCTTTCATGTCTTTGAACTGGGCTTGGTTTTTTCATCCCAGACCTCTTGGCAAGGGGGGGGTGGAATTCGAGAAGATGCAAGTTGAAATCCTGCAGCCCTTTTACTGTGAAGCGGGGGGGTGCCTTTTCTTCTGGAAAAGCTGTTATTTTGGAAGATTCATTGAGGGGGGAAAGTGGTATTTGTTCAAGAGGTTCTATGCGGCCCCTAAGTCACCACTGTTGGCTGAACAACGGGCAGACTCAAAGGCTAGGCCCTCAGATTTCAAGATAGGAGGTTTTTCACCTAAACCTTAGGAAAACCTTCTGGAACCTAGGAATTCTTTGCCTGTGGAACGGACGGCCTCCAAGACTCTCGGAAACAAAGAGTTTTGGAGGGCTGCTTGTCAGGAATACTCGGCCTGTGGATGTCCATCTTAGGAAAGGGGTTGGATTCCGTGGCCCAGGAAGCCCCTTCCCTCTCCAGACGGTTGCAGTTCTGTGATTCAGATTCTTCCGGTAAAGGTGGATCTGCAGAAAACGCCAACTGTTCGGGGACGGGATGTTGGTTGCGGTGAGTTTTCCTTCGGAGGGGTGGCCGGCTTCCTCCATTTCAGCCGCGATAACCACAGAGCAGAAGGACGGTGCCACCCTGAATGACTCACCCACCAGCCTGCTTCGTCGTGGGGACCTTTCATGGGTGAAATTTCCTTCTTCAGAGAGAGAGTGCCTAAAATAAAGGTGATCCTCTCACCGGTGCCACCATACTTCTCCCTTCTGTGTCGTTTTTTCTCAAAGCGAAGTTCTTAGAGGGGAGAGGAGAGAGCCCACCCTCTCCCTTCCGAAGCTCTCCCGTCTCGCGTGTCGCCTCAGGTTTTCCCAGTTGCCTTCTTCCTCCAAACCCTCAGGTCCAGGAGGGCAAGCATGGGTCGGTGAGGGAGGCTGGCCAGCCTCAGTGAGTTATCCTGTGCCCTTCTTTTCTTTCTGTCTGTCTTTCTCCCCCCCCCATTTCTTTTTCTGGGGGCCCCTTTCTAGATGGCGTGGACGGGAAGCAGGCGCGTCGCACCCAGTCCAGCACGCCGCTGGGGGAGCTCTTTGACCACGGCCTGGACAGCTGGGCCTGCATGTTCTTCGTGGTGACCGTCTACTCCACCTTCGGCCGGGGGACCAACGGCGTCAGCGTCTTCGTCCTCTACCTTCTCCTGTGGGTGGTCTTGTTCTCCTTCATCCTCTCCCACTGGGAGAAGTACAACACGGGGATCCTCTTCCTACCCTGGGGGTACGACATCAGCCAGGTGGTAAGTGGGACCTCCCTCGCCCCTCGCGCGCTGCCCAGGCTGGCCGGCACGGAGGCCTTTATCCCTCGGGCCGTGCGGACGGACCTTCCTGTTGAACCTCTAGTATTCGGCTTTGCTTGGCTGGCTGTTTCTTTAAAGACGTGGCGCTTTTCCATGCTGGGGGGCTCTCCCAAGGGCTGAAAGGAGAGACGTAAAGGATTCAGAACGTGAGGAGCTCCAGAGCAGCTCCTGTTTAGTGGGTGCATGAGTGGAGGATCGATGGATCCACAGGATGGCCCTCTGTTGCCCTTCCCTCCTTGCCCGGAAAGGCGGCTGGCAGTTAGGCTTCCCTCTTGAGCTTCCCAGGGCATCTCCCCACCGCCGCCCCTCGGAGCCCTTTTGGAGGGGAGCAGAACCGCCGCTGGAGCCCTGGCAGAGCCTTTTGCCTTGCAGCTGCCACCCCCTCACCCCACCCCCAGTCCACGGGTAGCCTTGTCCAAACGGGAAGGTGGACTGAGATGGACTTGGAACACTTCTGTGGCCCAGCAAAGAGTTGAGCCTGATCATTGCTCCACCCAGGAGCCCCCCCCCACCTTGCCTCACCCTCCCTTTGCGCAGCATGGGCCATAAATTCCATTTTGGGGGAGAGAGCCCTGGCGGCAAGCCCACGAGGACTCCTTGTGCAGATTCCACTTCTGGGTGAGAACAAGCATGAAGAGCGGAAACTGGGTGGTCATGAAGCCGACCCCAGAAGCCATCCCTGGGCAGCCACAATGCCCGCCTCCCAAGGCCGTTCTCTCTCCAAGATCTTCCGTGAGATTACAGGAGGCAGGGAGGGAGGACTCCCTCTGAACACCCATGTTGTTGTTGTGCGTGTTCTTTTGGGAGGCAATGAAGGAGGGAGGCTGCGGGGAATGAAAGGAGCTTCCTCAAACCGCAGGCAAAACCGTTTTAGATTTCATCCCAGGTCGCCTCTTGACTTAGTGAGAGCTAGAAAGTGACAATCATTGGGTCTTCCCTCTCAGGCAAAGGAGGGCCTTTTAGCTGGTGAGGAACACAGAGCAGTCTGGAGAGAGAGAGAGAGCGTTTGCAGTGAGGACTTGCGTGGTGGGAGACAGGCCATGAAGGGTTAGCCTTTAAGGCACCACCAGACCCCCTTGGAGCCTTTTCTCTTCCCTCGGGGGTTCTGTCAAGTCCAGCCTGAAGAAAGGTCCTGCAGGACTCCAAAGCTTACCTCTCTATGATACGTTTTCTGTGGTCCAATAAAGGTGCCAGACAGTCCTGTTCTGGGAGTTTGTGTAGGGCTTTTGCTTCTTTGATTTTTGCAAGAATAGGACATAGCATAGGCATCCTTCAGTCTCGAGAGACTATGGGAACATGCTCTGAATCGAGGAGTGTCCTCTCCAGAGCATGAAGCCCGGGTAAAGTAGTATGGAGGATAGGCTGTTACCCAAGCAGCAGATCCCCCCTCTCCACATTGCTGAAATGGTCCAATGGAAAGGCAAGAGCCAATACAACTGGTTCCAGCGACGTCGCAGGAGTTGGCAGAATGACACATGCTGCCTTCGGGACTCCAGCTCCGGATTTTGCCTCGAGGTCAACTCCTGAAGCCTTTTCCATGAGTGGATATAGCCACAAGGCAGGGGAGGTTTGAAATCGGAGTTTTCCTTCTCCTAGATGGGCTGCCTTCCAGGGCTGACGAGCCCCACAAGGTAGACGGGATCCCCAGAGTGGCTACTCTGAGGTCCCCTAGTGAGTTTGTGGTCGGGAGACGACTCGGGGGCCCTTCGCAGCTGGTACACTAATTACAGTGGCATTTTTTGGAAGCGCCTGGATGCTGGGGAGCGCTCGGTGCACCTCCTGTCCGCCTCCAGTGTCCTCCTGCTTTTGGAGATTTAGTTGCCCAGACCATTTGTTGGACAGGAGAGTGGGAAGATGGAGCTCTTAAGAACCGTTTCTCCCCAGCAGGAATCCTTGGCACAGACTCTCTGGCATCGTCTCCTGTAATGCTTCGTCTCTCTCTCTCTCTCTCTCTCTGGCCGTTTTGCCCCTCGCAGGAAGAGTTCTCTCTCTCTCTCTCTCTCTCTCCGGACGTTTTGCCCCTCGCAGGAAGAGCGGGTAGGAGGGGACTCTCCATCCGCTCACGTTCTGCCACTCTCTCCGATTCCCTTTCAGACCATTTCTGTCGTCTATATTGTGACGTCCATCGTTGGGGTGGAAGTCTGGTACAGCCCTTTCCTCTTCAGTTTCTTATACCGGGACCTGTTCGTTGCGATGATCATCGGTAAGGCCCTTCCCGTGGGAAGTCCTTCTCTTTCCAACCCCTGCTTGCTGCCCAGGTCCCGTATTTCCTCTTTCCTCTTCAGTTTTCATAATAGGGTGGGAATTGGGTGGCAGTGGAGAAGCCACTGGCTTCGGAGTAGCCCTGTTGAAGAGGAACACGGCCCCTGCCTGAGCCAGATGTCTCCTGGATCGTGGCCCATTTTCAGGCGGACTGCTCTGGAGTAAATAGAGTTGTATGCTGCATGATGAGTATCATGTCTATCTAGATGTGTCTTAAGAGACGATGACTGAAGTGATACCTCCGGCAACAGCAGAGTTTGAACTCTGAATGGCAGATTTCAGAGGATCTGTATGCCTTCCCCGATCTAGTGTCGTGCTTCCCAACCATGGGTCACCCTGGTGTTATTGGACTACAATTCCCAGAAGCCTTTACCACCAGAGTTGCAGCCCTGTGAGGTCAAGGCAGCAGACAGGGCTGTCTCTTTCCCTGGCTGATTTTCACAACCATCCTATAAAGTAGGTCAGACCCAGGGAGGGACTGGCTGGCCAGCAGTCGCACCGTGATTTTTCACAGCTAAGCCCCGTCCTTGTCTGGTGGGGGCTGGTTTATCCTTCCTTGTTCTTTCAGCTTGCCCCTAAAAGTGGTTGTCCCTCAAATTGACACAGATGCAAAATCTAAAACTGGGCACCAAACTCTGGAATCTTCCCAGCGCCTTTTATTTCCAGCGTCTGCAGAGTTGAGCTTTCGCCCGCTTCGATCTCTCTCTGCAGTGGCGGAAGAGCAACCGGGGCTGTTTGTATTTGCCACCCTGTGCTTTGGATTCCTCTACTCAGTTCGCCATTGCAAGCAATAGAGGTGATGAATGCACGGCATGAACCCACTAAACCCAAATTAAAAGGATAAGAGTGAGGCCAATTGAACAGTGGATGGGAGTGAGAAACATAAAGTAAATCTGTTGTAAGCTGGTTTTGATTTTTTGCTTTAAAGCCTTTTAAAACTCCTGCAGGGTCCCTCTCGAAGGGAGGAGACCTGGCCTAGGCGCAGTGGTTAAACCGCTGCACTGCAGCCAAAACTGTGCTCTCAACCTGGAGGTTCAAATCCCAGGCAGCCAAAACTGTGCTCACAACCTGGAGGTTCAAATCCCAGGTAGTGGCGCAAGGTTGACTCAGCCTTCTGCCCTTCCGAGGTCGGTAAAATGAGTATCCAGCTCGCTAGGGGGGGGCAATGTGTAGCCTGCACCATTAACTTGTAAACTGCCCAGAGAGTGCTTGAAGCGTTATGGGGCGGTATATAATCAGCACGCTTTGCTTTTTTGCTTTGATGGAATTTTAGATTCCATCTGTGCCTTGAGAGCTTCAGTCATGGAGGAGAGACAACCCTCTGAGACCCCAGGCGGTGATGCCTCCCATCCCAACAGTGGGGCCACAATCCTTGGCCACCGTTGTAAAGCCCAAGCCCTCCTTGGCTGGGTTCATGGTTTCAGAGCGCATTTTTTTCCTTCAAAAGCGAGCCTTTGGCCCCAATCATCTCTCGGTGTCGTCCAGGGCCCCCAATGTTCCTAATTAACCACCGTAAAACACTTTTGCCCTGCAGCATCCCACCAAGTAGCCAAGAGGCGAAGTCCCTTATCCAGAAGGTTCCCCTTCTTAAATTCCTGTATGGTTGATTGAAATGCGGACAGAGCATGAGAGGCTTTGATCTCCATTAGCTTCCTTTTGGAACAAGACTGTTTGGAGTGTCGGCATCTTCAGGAGAATCCCAAGTTTCCAATGCCTCAAAACAAGGGGATGATGGTGGCCTGTGGGCCATCTCTGCCTTTCTCATTCTGTGTGCTGCCTTGGCTACCAGGCCTACCAAGCCTTACCTGGGGTCTCCTGCAGGTCACCTGGGCGGCCTTGGGATGTGGTTCAGCGTTTGCTTGCTCTGCCATCTGAGCTGGTGGGTTAAGCTGGGAAGGAACTAGGAACTTTTTTTTCCTGCTAGCCAGTTCGTAGTGTTGAGAGAGGAGGGGGTGTGCCCTTCGGGGGGGGGTGTTGGGTGCTGGACTTTAATCCCCAGAATTCTGCAAGAATTCCCACGCTGAATTCCGGAGGCTCCAGCCCACAAACCCCTGCCTGTAAACACCTTCCTTTCGCTCACCCGAAAGGCTTCCTTCCTGGCCTTCATTTCCTGCTCTAACACTTCCTGGCAGGAAGTTGCCTCAGTGCTTCCTGAGAGTGGTAGCCTTGGTGCTCTTTATGTACTCTCTAGAGAGGGTACCTCCAGGAGAGCCACCACTCCCAGAGATCCCATTTCCCAGCAGGAAATGAAGACCTAGAAAGAAGCCTCGGAGTTGTCCAGGTGAGTGAAATGAACGATGGTTTCTGCCCATAGGTGTTTGTGGACTGAAACCCCCCCCCCAGAATTCTGCTTTGGGGGGGGGTTCCTGTAGAATTCTGGGATTTGGGAGTCCTGAAATGGCACGTCCCTGCTTGGCAGCGGCCTTGGGGACATGCCTGCGTAGGGAGGCAGCCTCCACCAGAACTCGGGTTCCCCGTTTGCAAATCTGGGAGTCTCAGGGGATCCTCACGGCTCCCAAGGCTTCCGTAGGGAGAGCATGGAGGTGAGGGGGGGCTGCTCTGTCTCCCACCAGTTGGAAGGCTCCCGATCCCCTAATTCCGTGGTGGGTGGGGAGAGGGGCCCACACCAAACGATGGGACGGGGCGTCCATGAATTCAGAAAATCCCATGCCTAGAAAAAAAACACGTTTAGGTCGTTCAAGAAGTGGGGGGAGAAGCTGCCTGTTGCCCTACGAGGGTGGGGCATCATGGGACGGGATCTGCCGTGGCTTGCCTTTGGGTTGGTGGGAGGAGGGTGGCCCTTTGGGCAGAGGAGTGACCGGATCCCTTTTCCCCCTCTCAGGTTGTGCCGTCCTGGTCACCGTTCCTATGAGCCTGCTGAATTACTACAAGTAAGTGCTTTCCTGGGGGAAGCCTTGGCACTGCCCTTTCCCAGACCCAAAAGAAGAAGGGGGGGCTGAGTTCAGGTCTCTGTTTCCCTGGCTTTCTTGGCCGGCAGGTGGGCCCCAAGCCACAGGGGTGGAGCCCCCCCCGGTCCGTTTTCTCTCTCTCAGGACCTTCCTGTCCCCGGTGCTCTTGGGAGGAGGAGCGAAAAGGTCGGCTTTGCTGGCCACGATGATGCCTGTCAGGTGTCCTTGGGAAGGGTTGCCCCCTCGCAGGGGCTAAAGGAGGCCTTGCTTTACACTCCCCCCCCTCTCTCCCTCTCACACACACACACACACACTCCCCCACTCACACTGGCGGCTGCCCTCCTGCTTTTCAGAGCCTACAAAACGCGAACCCTGAAGCACCGGTCCTTCTACGAGGCCATGTTGCCCTTCCTGTCCCCGGTGCTGCTCTTCATCCTGTGCACTGCCTGGATCTTCTGGTCGCCGTCCGATATCCTGGAGGCCCACCCCCGCCTTTTCTACTTCTTGGTGGGGACGGCCTTTGCTAACATCTCCGTAAGTCCCTTCCCTCCCCCCCCTTTTGCTTTGGAAAATCACACACACACACACACACTCCCCGGGGCTGGCATAAAGGAAACCCCAAAGCCAACTTGGTGCCCAGGCTGATACACCTGGACCATCTGCTGTCCCCCAGCAAGGGGGGGGGTGTCCCCCTCTGGCCGTGGGGGGGGCTACCCCTCCCAATCTCCCCAGCTAGGATGATTGCCAGTCTACCCCTCCCAATCTCCACAGCGAGGATGATTGCCAGTCTCCCTACAGGGTAGGAATGATGGGGGCTTTAGTCCAGCCTAGCTGGAGGGTGCTGGAGGGGGGGGCCACGGACAAGCCCAGTTTGCTCAGGGGGCAGGAAAAGTGGTTTCCCACCCAACCGGCCTTCACTTCCAGGGCAGTGGCAAGAATAGTCAGGTCACCCTAAGGAACAAGAGGGGGGCAGGGAACGTTTTCCTCCTTTTCAAACGTAAATGGATTTTCTTTTTTCAATTTGTGTATGTGTTAGTACGTAATGAGTTTAACTGGCCTTCTTTGTGCAGTACATTATTTTGTCTTTTAAACACAGACACTTAAAAGTTTTTAAATGGCTTAAGTTCATTAAGTCGAATTGCTTTTTAATAAGTCATCTGTTGTCTTTGTAACGTTTGACCTGTTTTAACTATGGGGTCCCTTCTTCGAGAGAAAGGCAAAGCCCTACAAAGGAGGCAAAATAAGAATATATAAATGAAAGAACAAGGCACAATTTTAGCAAAACCCGGGGTTTCAAACAAGAAATCGTTTTCTGAGATAAAGGCTGGTCGAGATGCGTTGGGAGCGCCGTGGCAAGATCCACCAACTGCCAGCCGGCAAAACGGTGCCCAGCAGAGCAGCTAGTCCTCAAGGGACACCTAGAAGGCTGTCTGAGGTTTTTGGGAGGGTGGGGGGCCGGTCCTACGTTGGGTGGGCGAGGGCCCCTTTCCTCGTTCTTTCCTTCCTTCTGCCTGGACCGTCCTCCTCATCAGCTCTCTGTTCCCTCACGGATCCTTCCAGTGCCGCCTGATCGTCTGCCAGATGAGCAACACGCGATGCCAGCCGCTCAACTGGCTGCTCCTCCCGCTCGCCCTCGTGGTCTTGCTGGTGACCTCCAACGCCCTGCCGGAGCACGAGACCTTCCTCCTCTACTTGGTCACCACCTTCATTACCCTGGCCCACATCCATTATGGAGTCTGTGTGGTGAGTGAGTTCCCCTCCCTCCCCCCCGGGGCTCCCCACCTTCCTTGTTTCACTTACAAGGATGAAGGAAAGGACCTGTGCTTCTTCTGTTCCTTTTTGGGGAGGAGGGTGGACAGATCCCCGGGTTGGTCACTTTAAAAATTCCTTTCAAAAAACACCTCTGAAAAACACGGGGCAGAAGGAATTTTTTTTAAAAATTAACTAGGGAATCTTACTTATGGCACCAGTGCCGTCATTTTGCTTCCAGTCATTACACTTCCATGAACAGGGACCCTCATTAAACCACCCGGAAAGGAATTAGCTATGGAGGGAGATGGGCGCGAACTGAACCACGAAGCAGAAAAGGCATGAATTGGGCTGGTTCGTGGTTCAATTCAGGAATGCCGTTTTGTCGAAATGAAACTTTTGGGACGTCTCCCCCACCTCGCCTTGCACCCAATATAATACCCCAATCTCAAAGAAGCAAACTGCAAACTTGTTTGTTTTTCGGGGAGTTTGTGACAGTTTGTGATTCGTGGTTGAATGAACAATGAGCAACCTTGAACTATCAAGAGCCACCCGTTTTTCCAACTTGTGCCCGTCTCTAGTGACAGAGGAGGGAATTGCTTTCCCCTTGCTTGCAGCCTGTGCGTGTATCCTCCCCTCCCCTTAGATGGCAACCTTGTTTTAACCTCAGAGCCCAGCCTACATTGGCTTTTTCATAAACAGTGCCCTCGGCAGAGGCAGAGAGGTGAGGACCCGGCTGTCTCGCTGGCAGATTTTCCTTTTCAGAGAGACATGGGCAAAGCGAGGGGCCCCCCCCTCCTGCCTTGGGAACCTCACTTCCTCCTGCCCACCCCCCACACTATTCTCTGCTCTGCATTTCCACGGAAGCCCCCGTGGTGGAGGGCCCTTTCCCTGGAGGCCCACCGAGCAACAGCACTTGCCTTCCTTTCAATATTCAGACGAAAACCTGGCCCTGCCTCCACTTTGTATGCCTTTGGGCTCAGGAGGAACAATGGCTCGGTTTTTTTCAACCTGTTGGTTCTCCCGGTTTTCCTTTGCTGCTTGGGCAAGATGCTGCTTGATGATGGTTCTTTTCTTGATCTGCTCCGGTCAAGGGTGTTAGAAACACTTTAATAAATGGAACAGAGGAAGCAAACTCGGCAGCTGCCCTCGAGCAGCCTTTCCCGGGCACCTCACTAGCTCTCAGACCTGTTTCTGGGTTCAGACAACCTCTCTTCTCCTCCTGCCCCGCTCTCTCCCCCACCCCACCTCCAGGTGAGCCAGCTGAGTAAGCATTTCAACATCTGCACCTTTTCGCTGCGAAAGCCCAGCTCCGATTGACTAGACGTGGAGGTGGCAGCGGAGGAGAAGGTGGGCCTGTGATTGGCAGACGCTCTGTAAATTCAGCCGCCCCTGTAAATATCCTTCAGCCATCACCATGGAACTAAAACTGACCCCCCCCCTTGGACACGATCGCGTGGCGGGGCACAGGCGAGGCCTTATGGGTGGCGGGGGACCCCTTTCTCTGGTTCCCCCTCCCTCACGGCCACGGTGCCAAGTCTCTCCCGGATGTGTGGGCTATCGCCCTGCGCTTGCCTGCATGGGACCAGCCGTGTGCCGACGTTTTAAACTTCCAGGCCAGGCCTCGGACAACATGGCTCTGAACCTTCCAGAGACAGCAAAGCAAGCAACCGTGGAAGCACCAGCCGTGGCTCTGAAGCAGCCACGGAACTGCGACAAAACACTTCACGTCGGCACAGCATCTGGAGAGGTGAAGAAGCAAAAGGCAGAGGGCTCCGTGCATCCGAGTGACACTACAAGGGGCTTTCAATGGAAAGATGGCCCAGGCTGTCACCAGATGCTTGGTGTAAGCCGTGAGAAAGCGGAATGTGGTCTCACCCGTCACTGCCTTTGGTGCGCTCCGTTCCGTCTCCTGCTTCGGACTCAGCCTGAGGCTCTCCCCATGAGCTGAGCCCCCCCTAACCCCCCACCCCGGGCCAGTGATTGCTTTTCTGAGATCAGCCTTGGAGAACAGAGCACCTTTGTACCCCAAGATCACGTCGTGGCACGTTTACCCTTTCCTGTGATGTGGCGCACACTCGCTTCACCCTCGTGGAAGCCGAGGGAGGATGTTGCCAGGGGTCGGGCGTGACAGCCGAGGGCCCCCCTTCCTCACATTCGGAGCTGCATCGTTTGGGAGTCAACCCCCATGATCTGTTGCAAACCCCAAAGTGATGTGCCCTTGATTTGCACACCCAGTTTTCCGTGACTGACCTCTCGTGGCGTGGCTTGTTTCTGTTTCCCTGCCGGAAATCTCGTTTCCCATGAACTTTAATCCCGTTTCATTTGAGTGGTGCTGGTGGTGGTGATGATGATGGAGACAGAGAGCTGATTTTTCTTTTCCTTTGTCGCTTTATTTAATGAAGACCTTTTTTTTTCGTTGTGTGTATCTGTGTCCTTGAATGAAGAGTGCAGCCTAAACCCAAGCTTCTTGGAAAGGCTGCACCCGGAAAAAACGGAGCGCAGCGAAGGCGGTTCCGAAGATGGAATTCATAGCCAGGGTAACGGGTGTTTTTTTTTTTTCCCCAGCCTTTCGAAATGAGAGGAAGTTTTCCTCTTGTGGGCGATACATTCCATTCTGTAGAAGGATTTGCAGTTGTGGAATTTCTATTTAATTTTTATTTTGTAAACTTGGGTTATTATGTCCAGAAACCAGACACGAGCAATGTAAAAGCCCAGAACTGGGGCTTCGCTCTGCTTTTCTCCTCATTCCTTTGTTCTGTAAATAGGTCTATTTTTATTATTATTATTAATAATAATATTCTTACATTTTTCTGCCAATGCCATTTCTGGTATCTTGATGAACAGCGGAGTTGGTACTGATTGCTCGTAATCTGTCTTTTAAAAAGCAGCACGAAAGCAAAGTGGTATCTAAGCCTGGAGGTTGAAGCAAAGGGGGTTTGCTCCTTTGTTCAGTATTTGTAGAACTGGACCAGAAATAAGGATGATAATTCCTTTTTCTTTCTTTCTTTCTTTCTTTCTTTCTTTCTTTCTTTCTTTCTTTCTTTCTTTCTTTCAATGACTTTGCACAAGGAAATCTTGGGTGTACAGAGGAATGGAGAGATGCTTGAATACTTGATGCTGTAATATTTGGAATGCACTTCCACTAATCATTTGTAAAATTGTACAAGAGACATTAAGAGATGGGGCCCTGCATCTGACTTGCTTGAAGTCCTTTTCTGGGTTCGGTGCCGGCACACTCAGGGTGGGTCGGTGAGCATGTTTTGTGTGTGTGTGTGTGTGTGAGAGAGAGAGAGAGAGAGAGAAAGAAAGAAAGAAAGATGAATCGCGAAAGAAAGAAAGAAAGAAAAAGAAATGAATCGTTGTGAGACTACTTGGTCCTCTTGTCTCTTTCTTGGGAGGAATAACAGCTTCTGCTTTGGCAGTGCCGCTGCTGTCCGGCCGTCGCACCCGCTGCCATGGGATGAGAAGGATCGGCAGGCGGGGGCCTGCCTGCCTGCCTGCACAAGAGCCTCCCCTTTTGGCAAGCAGAGCGCCTCCCAGTGTAAACCTAAGGATGTGGCCAGCTAACCTTTCCCTGTAAATTAGGGATCTTGGGTTTAGGAGGGCTGCCCAGCCAAAGGCCCACCCTTGCCTCCTCCCCCCTGATTCTTCTTGTTTTGAAGGGACGTTGGCAGTTCTGGTTGCCGGAAGGGAGACTGAGGCCCCGTCTGGGCTCTTGTTTCAGCCCCACGGAAGATCAAGGGAGGGTGGCAAAGGGGAAGCCATGGGGCTTTCCATGCTGGGGGAAAGGTAGGTGGGACCAGGAGGTGGAAAGGGGGCTGGGTTCTCCCACCGCCGCCACCGTCGTGGTACAGCTTCAGCAAGAAGAAATCTAGTGCCTGATTCACCAGTGGGAGAGGGGAGGAGAGGGGAGACCCCCAGCCGCCATGCCCCCCCACCCACCCCGTCCATGTAGTTGTAGGAGACTCTGTTGTCGTCTCCGCAGCCTTGTTGCTCCTTTCCTGCCTTCCAAGGCTTCTTGGTAACGGATTTGGTGCCTTAAGTGACTCTCCTCAAGGGAAGGGGGGGGGAGGAGGGAGAAAATCTGCTGTCTTAAAAAGAAAGCATGTTCTAAGCCTCGTCCAAGAGGAGCCGCTTGAGAATGGAGGATGGGAGAGACAGGGTGTCATCGTTTTGCGCTCTTTTGTCTGAAGGTGGGATTTCAGTGGGAATCAAAGGCACCCTTTAAAATAATAATAATCTTTCCATCTTTTGGGGTGTGAACCCCCTAGTGGCAGGGGTTCTTCTAAAGGACCCCACAAATTAAAAGCCTGTCTGTGTGTGTGTGTGTGTTTGTGTGTTTGTATGTGTAAGGTGAATGGGTGCAGTTCTGCCCTTTGCTCTTGCCTTTCATTCAGGAAGCGTTTGTGAACGGTGAGTTGAGCCTCTGTCTACATCAGCCATTCCCAAACTCTTTTTTATTTTATTTTGGGGGGGGGGCTATGGCCCTTTTAGGAGCTCATCTCAGAGTCCAGGTCAAACATGGACAGATGAAGAGAAAAAGAGAATAGGAAGTTTTTCATTCTGTGCCTGCCCCCCCACCCCTTTCCAACGGGCCCTTCCTACGACACCCCCTCCCCTTGAGAATGACTGGTGTAGGTCATGCCCTGTTTTTGTCTCCATGGGTCATTCCCAGGGATCCGTCTGGGACGGGCAAAACAAACTTTTAAATCACCCCCCCCCCACTGGCTCTGTTACCCTTCGAGCTGACCACTCCGTGGCGAGGCTCAGACCTCGTTGGCCTTCCTTCCTCTTGCTGTTTGCCGGTGAACGTGCCGTTGCTTCGGGCCCGTTAATGTACTGGAGGCTTGTGTGGTCCGTGACGGGCAGGGCGCGGAGGCCCCAGCTGCCCTCTGCACGGCCGAGCCTTTCCCAAAAAAAGTATACGGTGCACAAAGTGGCTCTTCCGAACCACACAAAAGTCCAGCCCGGAATTCCCTGCTTTGCGTTGCAGAAGCCCTTTCTGCCTGGTGGATTAGAAGAGCGCAACTCATCGGGAGACCATGTGAAAGCAGCCAGAACGTTCGGGTTGGGCCAGAGTCTAGCGGGCTTCTGTGGGATACAGCCAGTTCGTGATTCATTTGGGCTGTGCTCGTTCTGGAGGAAGTCCAGGATCCATCGGCATAACGTAAATCTCCTTTGAACCCTTCAGAGTGCAGGTTGCTGCTCCATGGAGCCTTTGCGGGGGGGGGGGCAACGTGATTTGCACGGGTGTCCTCGACACAGTGCCATGGCTGTTTTAAGAGTGATCTCAGGGTGCAGAGCGTTGTGGCGATCGCTTGGACGACTGCCAAGTTTGATCTCGTCTGCCTTCATGCCTGTCAGTTCCCCCCCCCAAAAGAAAACCATGGCTAATCTAACAGATTTTTTCCACTCTTGATCCGAAGGTGGTGGGGATGCTTCTTTGACGGCCGGTCTCTCGACTCTAGGCCAGGGGTTCCCCAACCTTGAGTCCCTAGATGTTCTTGGACTACAACTTCCAGAAGCCTTCACCGCTCGCTGGGCTGGGCTCAGGTCTCGGGGAGCTGTCACCCAAGATCCCCAGTGGTCTAGATTGCAGGCCAGTTGGGTGCACTTTTTTCAAAGTCGGCCCTGGGTGGAAGCAGGGATTGGGCCGTGCATGCACGACTTTTGGACCAGTCGGGGCGTCTTTGCCTTCCGGTTTGGGGGAGCCTGTCTGTGGGATCTCAGCATTCTTGAGAAGCGGTCTTTTACACGGCTAAGTGAAAAAGATGGAGGCTGAGCCCGTTGGGACGGGCCTGAGGAACGGGGGCAGCATCGAGGCGACTTGTGTGGTTTGTCGCTGCTTGGTGGATGCTGCTTTTCTTCCGGAGGAAGAACAGCAACGACCTTGCTATAAAATTTGGGGGGATCGTGGGTGGGTGGGAGAGAGAGAGAAGGTGCCTTGGTCTCCACTGCTGTTCGTGGCCCCTGGAAGGACCGGCCTGCTTTTTCTGGGCAAGGTGCGTTTTTGCTCGTGTGACCCACCCCGGTCTCTCTGTGTGTCGGGGCAGACGGATTGGACAGGGTTATGATTAGGAAAAGGAGGCTGTAATAGGACACGGCCCACTGGTGCCGCAGGTTTCTGTGCAACCCGTCACACACACATTTCATCAGGACTCTGTCTTCCACGTTGTTGGAGGCTGACGGTCCTGCAATGGATGTGAACTCTGATCCGTAAAATGCTATTATTTCTGGTAAATATTTATTGTATTTAAAAACTACAACAACAACAACAAAAAACCTATTATGAAATAAAACTTCAATAAAAGAATTTTTCCAAGCTTTTTAACATCTCCTCTCTGTGAGTGTTTATTAAATAAGGACCGGGTGTAGAAAGGACTGCTGGCATTTACCAAAGCAAAGTTAGCAGCGGTTGACCCGCACCTCTGACCGGAGGCTGCCATGCACAGAGATGCTTTCGTGCCTTCGGCCCTAGTTGGAGTGGGGTTGGACAAGTTTTGACTTGCTGGAATTTGGAAGAGAGACTTGAGTAGTACCCGAAGATGAGGATGGGGAGCAGTGGCCTGAGCCTTACAAAACGTAGACGGAGGTAAGCAGAGAAGATGGAAAAAATAAATCGGGAATTCATTCCAGCTAGAGGGCACAGCCAATGTGAGCTGCGGTCCTAAAATTGAGACTGTTAGGAGGGGCAGTAGGCTCAAGATCCGGCACTACCTGCTTTCATCTTTGCAGCCCTTAAATGTATTCATTTTTAAAATGCCTTTTATGAATTCAGTGAAGGCATTTCTATTCTGCCTTCCAAGGTTGTGTTCCAAAGCATTCTGGAAGTCAAGAGACTAAAGATTTGTTTGTTTGTTTAGTCGTTAAGTCCTGTTGGGGACTCTTCGTGACCCCACTTGTTTGTTTGTTTAGTCGTTAAGTCCTGTCGGGGACTCTTCGTAACCCCACGGACCACAGCACGCCAGGTCCTCCTGTCTTCCACTGCCTCCTTGGAGTTTTGTCAGATTCATGTTGGTCGCTTCGGAGGGGAGAGGACATGATGGGCCTTAGGTGCCCCCTGTGCCTGGGGGCAGCCACCCATCCTCGCTGACTATGGGACACCCGTCCTCTGGTGTCCTTTCTGTGGGGGCCTTCTGAGCAAACAGGTGAACTGTTGTGGGGCCAGAAGGTGCCTGGAAATGTGTTAGACCCTGGCCAGTGTGTCTGTTGCACATGCAAAAGAGCTTTACTTGTGCTGCAACATCTGTGCTGGAAATGGGACTCCTTGTGAGGACAGAACACAATGGCCCATGGCCCTGATCCACCAATGGGTAAAGCTTCCAGGCAGGGTGTCTTGTTAGGGGGTGGCCGCAGAGGACGTGCGGTGCATTGAAGAAGAGGGGTCATACACTCCCGCGTCTGCTCAGACATGGCCCTGATCCACCAATGGGTAAAGCTGCCAGGCATGGTGTCTTGTTAGGGGGTGGCCACAGAGGACGTGTGGTGCGTCGAAGAAGAGGGGTCATACACTCCTGCGTCCACTCAGGAGGGAGCAAGGCAGTCACGCTTGAGGGAAAGAGCCATGGGGGCTGACCCTCCAGGGCATGGCACCAGGGGCAGATTCTTCTAAAGCCCACCCACCCCTAGCATGAGGGGAATCCATTTCCCCAATACTCGCTAATTTGGCCACTTGCCCCACCTCCCATTTAGAACAAATCCTGTAAATTTAGCAGAGTGGGATTGGACAGGATGGGGCCCCGAAATCCTCACTGAGCCCTAGGAGAGCAAAGCTGCAATCTCTGCCAGCATGTGAACCGGCCCTGGGTTCTCCCAAAGAGTAGAATTAGAATCCTAGAATCGAGTTGGAAGGGGCCTCTAAGGCCATCTAGTCCAACCCCATGCTCAGTGCAGGAATCCACCTCCTGAGGTCACGAGTTCCACTGTCGTACTACTCTAACAGTTAGGAAGTTTCCCCCTGATATTCTACCCAAATCCGGCTTCCTGTAACTTGAGCCCATGGTTGCCCATCCTGCACTCTGGGATGCCCGAGAGCAGATCCTGGCCCCTTCTCTGCAGGACCACCCTTCGAGTCTTTGAAAAACGCTACCCCTCCCTCTTTAACAGTTAGGAAGTTTCCCCCTGATATTCTACCCAAATCCGGCTTCCTGTAACTTGAGCCCATGGTTGCCCATCCTGCACTCTGGGATGCCCGAGAGCAGATCCTGCCCCCTTCTCTGCAGGACCACCCTTCGAGTCTTTGAAGTGCTACCCCTCTCTCTCGCCCCCATCTCTGGTTCGAATGCTTTGGTCTTCTAAACCAGTGGTTCTTAACCTTTGTTACTCGGATGTTTTTGAACTGCAACTCCCAGAAACCCCAGCCAGCACAGTTGGTGGTGAAGGCTTCTGGGAGTTGCAGTCCAAAACCCCTGAGTAACCCAAGGTTAAGAACCAGTGTTCTAAACCAAGCACTCTGCCAGTCTGAAGTCACTTTTAATTGATATCCACCTGGAGAGAAACTCTCTCCAAAGCCCAGAGAGGCTCTGAGCAAAGCCACCACCACCTTCTCCCCTCTGCAAGATCTTGGGGTAAGGAGGTGGGGCTTGGCTTGGCTGTGGCCGCAGGGGGGCTGGCTCTGCTCTGAAGTCACTTTTAATTGATATCCACCTGGAGAGAAACTCTCTCCAAAGCCCAGAGAGGCTCTGAGCAAAGCCACCACCACCTCCTCCCCTCTGCAAGCTCTTGGGGTAAGGAGGTGGGGCTTGCCTTGGCTTGGCTGTGGCCGCAGGGTGGCTGGCTCTGCCGGGAAGGCCGTGGCAGGACAGATGTCCCGTGGGCAAGACTCTCCGGTTCTTTTCTCATCCCAGTGGAAAACGGCTCTGAGCACCAACGGCCGAGAGGGGCTTCTCAGAAGAGGAAGGTGGGCCGCAGGGTGGCTGGCTCTGCCGGGAAGGCTGTGGCAGGACGGATGTCCCACGACAAGACTCTGCTGTTCTTTTCTAATCCCAGTGGAAAACGGCTCTGAGCACCAACGGCCGAGAGGGGCTTCTCAGAAGAGGAAGGTGGGCAATGGCTGCTTCCTCTCCCCCTCCAGATCAGAGTCCATCAGGACCACAGCGTCAGTTACAAAAGGGGAGATGCAAAACCTCAGCAGCAGCAGCAGCAGCAGCTATAAATGTGTCCGATTGTAAGCGCCGATTTAAAAAAAACAAAAACCTCGGAACAGGATGATGAACAGCTTGAGAGGGGATGGGCTTTGGTGGGATGGTTAGAAAAGGAAGAAAACTCACTCAGCCCGTGTTTTGTCTTGTTCAGTTTTTGAGGGAAAGGATTCCCCCCCCCCCCCTTCCCCCCCCGTTTACACCCAAAGCACAATGAAATCCCCCTCGAGGGCTGGACCCATCGGTGCTTTTGCCGCCTTGAGGCCCATGAAAGCAACCCAAGGACAGGGACGGACACCCCTCTAATCAGATTTTGCTCGTTTATTAAGGCTGGTAGGTACGGCAGGACACCCTACCCAACACTGTTCATGGCCTGCTTCCTTTCCTATGGGTCTTCAGGTGCGAAAGGGAAGGGGAAAACCTCGGCATAGCTGCAGCCCTCTTTTAAAAAGCGACACTCCTCCATACGACCGGCTCTGCTTTAAAAAACTGGACCGACTGTCGCTGGAGAGACACCGGCTTTCAGAACAGGAACAGTCCAAATCTTATGCTCTTCATACGAGGAGAAAGGGCTCACCGTGGCACATGCTGGGTCGAGACTATTACACACACACACACACACATCCTTCTTGACATGAATATTGAAATGGAAGTTGGGGAATGTCCATTCAGCAACTTTTCAATCAGGTGCTGCAAGAGACTAGAAGATATTTACAAAGGCCACTTGTGGTGGGGGGTGGGGGTCTCCTTCCCGGGAGGACCATAGACGGATTTCAGGATTCGTGCGCTGGTGCAGGACATTGGGCTCACAGCAGAGTTAGCCCCTTGGTGGCAGCACTTTTCTGCCATTACTGCGGGTAGAGCTCCACCAGCATCGCATGGCCCTGCAAAGAGAGAGAGAAAGAGAAGACAAGGCTCATTGTTACAGAAGGAACAGGGCCCCCCTTTCCATCCTCAGGAAAGGGGGTTACAAAGACTCGCCTCTTTGCAGCTGCTGAGTCACAGAGAGAGAGAGAGACCCCAAAACCCAAGGCTGGCAGCCCCCAGAATGAGGAGGCCCTTCAGGAGGAGTCCTCACCTGTCCTCCAGCAGCACAAGCAGCCACTAGGCCATACTGCCCTCCTTCCTTCTTCAGCCTGTGAGCCGTCGTCATCACCAAGCGGCAGCCGGTGGCGCCAAAGGGATGCCCCAGCGAGAGGGACCCGCCCCAGTTGTTGAATTTGTCCAGTGCGGGAGCTCCAACCTGCAAGCGAAGGGGAAGACGGGGGGTTAGGCCCTCGCGGGGCACTGGACGAAGCAGCCCAGCCCTCCATCAGCCTTTGTGGGAAGGCGCAAATCACCACACAACACCTTAAGATGAGAACACCAAAGTTAAAACACCAGCAGCGATTCGAGGGCAGGGTGGGAAGACGCGCACGGTCCCGAGCTGCCAGAAATCTCCAAATGCAAAGTGTTATGTTTGTTTTTTAAAAAAATACAACATTTATAAATCTTGCCTCAAAAGGCAGCCATTTTCTTTTAAAGAGGGACATGGCTCTCCAGGGTAGTCAAGGGAAGAGTAGGGGTGAAACTCCCCAAACTTCAGGGAAGCCCGGGGCAGCACAGCAGGGAGAGGCTGCATTGAGGGAGCAAAAATCCTGTGGGCACCTCTCGCCCACCACAGCCTTACCTTAGACGTTCTGCCCATGTAGTTTTGGGCAAACCAGTCTGAATCCATCGCTTTCAAATTTGCTAAAATTTGCCCCTAAAAGGGAAAGGAAGAAGGAAAATAAGCCACCGTAGAGACAATCAAAATCCAAGCCTGTCAAGAACTAGCGAGAACAAGCTGGTTAATCATGGAGCAAGGGGTCGTGGATGATTCTCTGACATCTCTCTGGGAACGCCATATTTTACGTGGAAGTAATGACCATGTGCCATCCATCTGAACTGGGACTTCCCAGGGTTTTCTCAACATCAAAGTGCTCCGACGTGGTTTCCCCTTTCCGATGGTGCTCTGGGAGACACACTCCGCTCATGGAAGGTCCAGGAGGGACCGGATGGGAGCAGCCAGCCCTGGGGCTGCATGGCCGGACCCTCTGACCCTCACACTTACTGCAAAGGCTTCGTGGAACTCAAAGACGTCGATGTCTGCCATGGTGAGGCCAGCCCTCGCCAGCACTTTCGGAGTTGCGTATGTTGGCCTGTGGGGAGAAGGAAGGGCCATCATCAGGGCTGGGCAGGGAGAAGGAGGTGGTGAGGGCATGCAGAGGATGCCCTGGCTTGCTTTACATCACTTGCCCCTGTGCCCCCTGCCTCACACCCCGATGGCGGATGGTACAGACCATCAGCCTCCCTCCGGAACTCTTAAAAGACGGATCTCCAGTGGCATGCCAGGAGGTGGACAGAGGGCGGAAAAGGCACAGGGCCCCATTAACCCTCTCACCTGCATCCCAGTTAAAGAAGAGACCCCAAAGCCAAAGCAAACGGCTTTCTCAAACGGCAGAGAAAGCCTCCTTTCGTTTCACATCGGCCTTCCTCGGCCGCCGCCTTCTGCCAGACTCTGTTCCAAAATTCAGGCACCCAAAGCTGGAATGCCGGTGTTGGCAAACAGGTATTTCTCGCCACCCTAGAACAGCTCCGTGCTTGCCTGCATCCTCACTCTTTGACGAGTGATGGAGATAAGAGCGTGGGGCTTCACCCACGGGGCATTTCTCCCTCCCCCCTTGTAAAGGGAGAAGGCGTGAGGTGGGCCAGGTTGCCCTGACCCAGCCCTGCCTCCTACAGACGCCCTCCGGCAGGCGGTGCCTCAGCCGGGACGATGCCTCTAAGTAGGGCAAAGCCCCTCCCAGTGAAACAAAGCCAAGAACCTGACATGACGGTTGCTGTGGCCCCGTCTCTGTCATGTCGTCTGACCCGCAGTTGACGCAAGGTGGGCTTTTTTTGGGGGGGGAGAGGGGAGCGTCCTCCAGGCCCTTCCGTGACAAGCTCCCCAGCCTGCCCTGGAGGCTATGAGCCGAGGGCCCTGTCACTGGCAACGGTCCTGCCTGGAGACCCCTTGAACCACCATCCCTCGGGGCCCGCCCAGAGCGAAGAAGGTGCCTGCTTGGAGGCTGAGCTCCGGAAGAGAGCCGAGAGGGCTTCTTGAAGGAGAGAGGAGAGGCAAGCACCCCGTTGTTTCAAAAGACCCCCTTGGCGTGCCACGTACCCGAGCAGGAGCTGATCCTTGGGGTCCTGGGAGACGTAGACGAAATCCCTGAGCGACAGAGAAGGGAAAGAGGCAACTGTGACGAAGAAGGTGCCTGCTTGGAGGCTGAGCTCCGGAAGAGAGCCGAGAGGGCTTCTTGAAGGAGAGAGGAGAGGCAAGCACCCCGTTGTTTCAAAAGACCCCCTTGGCGTGCCACGTACCCGAGCAGGAGCTGATCCTTGGGGTCCTGGGAGACGTAGACGAAATCCCTGAGCGACAGAGAAGGGAAAGAGGCAGCTGTGAGACTGGGGGGGGGGGCGGAGGGGACGTGGGCAGGACCCGCCGCCCCCGTCAGAGGACCTCAGAGCCATCCACCCCTGCTCACCGGAGGTAGGCCTTCGGCTTGTACCCCAGCGCCAGCGCCTTCTCTTCGGACATCAAGAGGACCGCCGAGGCCCCATCCGACTGGAAAGGAGAGCCGGAGAGCTCGGGTCAGTTGAGGGAGCAGAACGGGGACCCCCTCCCACCTACCCCTGAGAACAGAAGGCGACGACAAGAACCCAGGCCTTTGTTTACACTACAACTCCCAGAAGCCTTCACCCCAAGTGGTGCGGGCCGGGATTCCTGGGAGTGGCAGTCCGAAACCCACCCGGGGGACCCAAGGCTGGAAAGCATTGCTCAAGACTGAAGGAACCCCAGGGAAAAGTTTCAGACTCTCCCCCCCCCCCCCCGGCTGCCGAGGAGGTGGCTGGTCTGAGAGCGGGCTTCTCGCCGGGGAGCCGAGCTGCTCCGGCCTCGACACCAAAGCGGAGACCCCTCCTGCGCCAGCGAAGGGCCGAGGACCCTTCGGGAGGGCAGCGGCTTTTTTGCGTGAGGACCGAGGAGCCCAAGCGCTCTCACGTACATATCCCTGCGGCCCTTTGAGGGAGCAAGGAAATCGGGAGGGGGGTCCAAGGGCAGGCCCTCAGATCAAGCGCCTGGGAGGGAAGAGATGAAGTCGGGAGCAGCCAACGGGAGGCAGAGGGAAGGCTCAGGGGAAGGGGGAGAGCTGGGAGGCCGAAGGGGGGTGCAAGGGGTAAGCGCAAGGGGAAGTGGGTGAAAAGAGGCAGAAGGCAAAGCCCTCCCGAGTGGGGCAGGAGGGCAGCCAGGGGTCAGGGAAACACAAAGCTGCTAAGAGATCGCAACGACGCACCGGGTTACAGCTGCAGCCAGAGCGCCATGAACGGCAAGGGAAACCCTCTGGAGCCCCGTGACTTTTGCCCATCTCCCGGTGGACCAGCTGCAGAACTGGACTGTCCCTGGCCAAGTGTAGGGAGGAATCGCATGGTCCAAGCCTTCCAAGCTTTTCTCATCCCGTCTCCTGCCGGGACTGGATAATTGATGGTAGACAACAGCACGAGAGGAAGGCTCCATCAAGCATGCATGAGCAATGGTGAGTGGACCATCAAGCCCCATGGGGCCGGGCTGTCATTATTTCATAGTGTGTGTGGGATATTCATATACAGTGGTGCCTCGTTTAGCGATTGCCTCGTTTAACGATGTATTCGCTTAGCGATGAGGTTTTTGGAGCGATTTTGCGCTCCGTTTAGCCATGTTCCCTATGGGGAAATTTCGCATAGCAATGTTCGGGACTTTGCCTCGCTTAGCGATGACAGTCTAGGTCCCCCTGTTTTGCTTAACAATGTCCATTTTCGCTATTTTTAAAGTGTCTTAAAATGTTCAAAAACTGTTTTAAATGCCTGGGATCATTAGTGCACCTTGTAAAACCTTTGTAAACTTAATTTGGCTTTGTTCTGACTCTTCATTAATTTTTGGTGAATTTTTTTCTCTCCCATTGGAATGCATTGAATAGGCTTCAATGCATTCCAATGGGGGAAACATTGTTTCGCTTAGCGATGCTTCCTATGGCGATTTTCGCTTAAGGATGGTAATCCGTTCCCATTGGACCGGATTAACCGGTTTTCAATGCATTCCTATGGGAAATGGTGTTTCGCTTAGCGATGTTTTCCCACAGCGATGGTTTTTTGGGAACCAATTAACATCGTTAAGTGAGGCACCATTGTACAAATACCCCCATCTCTATTTTCTACGATTCTCTGTCCCAAAGAAGCTGCTGCCCTCCACCAAGGTTTTTTGTGCTGGTGGACTCCTTGCGGGGGAGGGAGTGAGACCCTCCCCACTCCTTGTTCAGTAACAACAAGCTGCCCCCTTGCCTGTGGCAGCAGTGTGGGAAAGGAGCCAAGAAAGACCCTTCGCAAATGCAGAGGGGCTCTGAAAGAGGGGCCAGGATACGTCCAGTTGAGGGGGAAACTACGGCACTCATCTCCTCACCCAGACGAAGGCAGGCACATGGCAGCCGGGTGCTCCCGCCACCCAAACCTTCGCCTGGGCGTGGAAGCCATTTCCCCTTCTCTTTCTGTGAGATTCAGAAGTCTCTCCAGAAGCTCCCCCACCCCCCACAGCCACCCTGCCAGGTTCCTCAGCAGTTTTTGGGAGGGGAGATTTCCTCCCTTCCTCCCCTCGGATGGGCCCCCTTCCCTCCTAGCCCCACTCACCCCAGCTTCCTCGCTGGTGGCAAAGCCAAGCCCACCAGTGCCCCCCCCTCGAGGGCGCCAACCCACACTGGTCCTGAGGCACTGAGAGCTCCAGGCAGGGGGTAGCCAGCCGGGCTTGGAAGCTCTGCAGGGAGAGGCAGGAAGCGCCCCACCCAAAAAAAGTGAGCAGGGGCCCGGGCCTCGCTCCCAGAAAAGCAAACCGCGGGTTGAGGCATCGCAGTTTCTCCTGGGTCAAGGCCTGACATTTTTGAAGGAAAACATGTCTCAAGGGTCAGACCCGGATTCAAAGCGGTAAGCAGCATCTCAGCCCACGGCGGGCCGTCTCCTCTATGTTTCTTGGGAGGCTAACTCTGAGGCGCATAAAAAACGGAGAGGTTTCCCTTTTCCCCTATTTCCTTGCTTTTGTTTACATGGGAGAATGGTCCACGCCCCTTACCAAGAAAGAGGAGTTGGCAGCAGTGACCGTCCCGTAGGGCTTGATGAAGGCGGGCTTCAGCTGACCCATCTTCTCCAGCGAAGATGGACGGACTCCGTTATCCTGCAGGACGGTGTCCTTGCCTGCAAGAATGTAAAGCGGCTGCAGCTCAAGAGCAGGCTGGGATGTTTTTAATCGGGCAAGGAGCTTCAGCCTGCCTCCATGCCATATCACAGCATCATGGAGTCAGAAGGGGCCCAGAAGACCATCAAGTCCAACCCTCTGCAAAACAAATCTCTTGGCCATTTCCCCTTCTGCCCATGGGACCCCCACCTCCCCTGGCCTTCTCTCCACTTCCTCCTTAGGGGGCGGCCCCTTCCACCTCTCCTCAGAGTTTCCACCTGCTCTGCTTGCAGGAACTGGGAAGGGGGGGAAGGCCTTCAAATGCGTATGCAGAGGAGAACAAGCCTTCTCCTTCCTCTCCCTCTCCGCTCCTTCAAGAGCTGCTGTTCCTCCCTTCCATTGGTCATTTCACAGAGAGCTGCTCCCGGCAGAGCTTCTTCCCCCCCCCCCGGCCCAGGGCTCCGAGGTGGGAGCTGGAGGGAAACGGATGAACGTCCCCCTGGTTCCTCCATCTGGCACCTTACCCGGGACCTTGAAGGGCACCACGTCCGTCAGGAGCCCTTCGTCCTGGGCTTTCTTGGCCAGGCTGTGGGACCGCAAAGCATACTCGTCCTGCTCCAAGCGGGAGATGGCGAAGGCGGCCGCCAGACGGTCCGCCGAGTGGCCCATGGTCTCGTTGGTGGAGAACTCGGCCACGGCCGGGAGCTGCAAGAAGCCAGAAAAAGTGCTCGGAAAAAGCTGCTCCTTGGGAGTAAACGCTTGACTCCTCGGTGGAATAGCCAGAATTCAGCGGCAGCATTTAAGGTTTCCAGCGGGTTCCTAGAAGACCTGCTCCCCGCCTTCAGGTGTCTTTCCTCTCCGCTGCCTGCCTTCCACCTCCTTTACTCTCTCGGGTCCCCTAAAAAGCTCGCTCTTCGTCAGGCATGGCTGCACCGAACGAGCAGCCCTGGGCTCTCGTCCCCCCCAACCCTGGACTTGCTTGGGACAGCCTTTGGAGCCACTCCTTCCCTGAGCCAAGCCCTTCCCGGGCCACCCCCGGACGCTTCCATCGCCTCCTCTCCTTTCAGAGGAAAGTGCCAGCTGCCACTCTGGGTCAGCGGCCTCCGTCTCGGACTAACAGTCGTCATGGGGACTCGTCTACGCCACCGTCGTCTGGGCCTCTGAGGAGATTTCAGCACTCCAAGACTCAACAGGCCTGCTCAGCCACGGCCGGACCGTTTGGCCCTTCCTCCTTTCCTTAACCGATTAACAAAACAAGCACCCTGAGAAAACGGTGTCTGTGTGTGTGTGTGTGTGTTTGTGTGTGTGTGTGTGTGTGTGTGTCGAGGGGGAGAGAGCTCTCTCTGCTGTTGATCCGTCTTGCTTTGTTCACCTCAGGAGTAAAGTAATTAGGGCGGATCCTGGAGATGAGCGACAGCCTTTGGCCCAAGGTTTTTGCCCGTGAGAGTCCCAGCATGGTCTTCCTCATCTTCCGACTGTGCCGGATGGGGACGTCCGACATCAGCTCCACACCACCAGCGATCACCACGTCCATCTGCCCGGAGGCAATGAGGCCGACACCTGCAAGGGACAAAGCCAAGATGGCACCTGGCCGGGCACAAGGGAGACCCTGACCCCCCTCCTCCAACATGGGGGGGGAAGGCAGGAGGCTGGGATGGAGGAAGGCAGGAAGGCAGCCGTTCCTGCAACTTTCCCCCTTAACCTTTCACTACCGGAAGAACGGGACCTCTTTTTCAGCTGCCACTGCTCCAGTGAGAAATCCGGGCTGAACTTAGGGAGGGTTTGTGCAGAACCTGCCAAATGGAAGGGTGAGAACCGCAGCCCAAAAGAACGGAAGAGCAGCCCGGGGGGCAAACGGGAACTCCCTCCGAGGGAGGGGGACTCTTTCCACCTCCTACTTTAACACATTCCCCCCCCAGTTCCCATTTTTGCCCCAGCTCAAAGCCAACCCACTGGGCTGGTCTCCCCACCATGCCACCCCTTGGGCTCAGCTGATCTCTTGTTTTGCCGCCTCTCCTTTTAAATGGGGGGGGCAGAAACCTGTCTCGGGGCAGTGAATAATTCCCGTATCAGTTTCTCTGAGGCAGCATCACTTAGCAAGGACTCAGGGCAGAGCCCTCCCCTGACTTCAGCGTGGCTGCAATATTTAACGGGGACCTGCTGATGGAAGGAAAGCGGCCACTGGCAAACAGTCACCATGGCTGGGCAACCCTGGGGGGGGGGGTGTCCAGGAGCCACACGCCTAAACCCGGGACCTCCCTGGGAACCTGCAGAAACTGAAAGTCAACAAAGAAGCCACCAGCAAAAAAACCCCTCCACGCCAAGCAAAACAGCATGGTTGGGGGGAGGTGTTATGTTTTTGCTAAAACAAAATGTGGAATTTGTTTTCGAGAAGAACCATTCTACAATTAAAAAAAAGAAACCAGTGCTGCTGCTGCTTTCCCAACTTGGGTGGGGTCATGGGCTCAAAACACGGCCTGGGGGGGCTGCATGGCTGCTGTCGCGAGCGGAGGCCAGGGGCCACCTGACCAGCACCCCGAGGAGCCCATTTGCCAGTTGGAAAAAAACACCCACCTTGTTATTTACACACACTGCTCAATGCGATAAGAACTCTCTCGACCTCTGCCCCCTCACAGCGGCCTCCCTTCGGGGAAACGTACCTGTCGTGATGGCTTGGTTGGAGGAGATGCATGCCATGCTGACCGTGTGGGCGGGGGTCTTGTCCGAGAAGCCGGCCCCCAAGGCAGCCTGCAGCGAGCACAAAAGACGCGGGCGCTCAGGAAGGGCTTGCCTCTCTCGACCCTTCCCGGCCACGCCAGCCCCTTCGGGTTGCGCCTCTTGGCGGGGTCCGCAGGCCCCCTTCCCTCTAGGCTGGGACGCGGAGACGGCGCCCGGCCCTTGTCTCCCTTCTCCAGCTCCCCACAGAGGAGGGACCTGCCGCGGCAGAGCCTTGTCCCATGTGTGGCCTCGAGCCCAACGAGCAAGCAAGCAAGCAAGCAAGCAAGCGCCCACGTCACACGCACCCCGCCCCCTCTGAGCCATTCCTCGGAAGCAGGTCTGGGACAACAGCCAGCCTTCATTTTTGGGGACACAGAATCCTTACCAAAACGCAGCCCCTGTCCGTCACCGGGAGCCAGAGTGGCACCTGGCGCAGGAAATCCTGGCCCAAGAAACCTGAGCTCAAACCCCGGCGGCCAGAGATTCCTTCCGGGCCGCCTCCTGCCCGCACGACAGCCGGGGCTTCGGGAGCCGCTTCCGAGGCCGTCACGGAAGGATCCCAGCACCCCTGCCTGTGCGGCCTCGTCCAGCGGCTATGAGGAGTTGTTGGGGCAACATCTCTGGCCGCTGCCTACCGCAGGGGGAGGCCTTCCCTCGTGCTGACCAGCCTAAGAGCAGACACAGGGCCACTGGGCGTGGGCTGGTCAGGGAACCTCTGGGCCCCCAATTCTTCCAGGGAGGCAGGCCTGTAAGGCAGCTTGCCCCCCCTTCCCTCCCCGGGTCCCCCAGGCAGGACTTTTCCCCTCCACTCCAGTGTCTCACATGAACAGTGGAAGGAATCGTGAACGATCCTCCCTGCGGGAGAGAAGGGCAAAGGCCCTCGGAAAGTGAACAGGGGCGCCTATTTTTATATCAGACGTTCGGGTCCACTCCTAGGCAGAGACACGCAAGGTATGCAGGGGAATATTCGGGTCAAGTGCTTCACAGAGGCCACCCCCTCTTTTCTGGAGGGGAATAAACATCACCCAAGAGGTTCCCCGTCATCACCCAATGGAAACTGTGATGCCACACTGGGAGGCCCCCGCTGTGCCCTGTCCCTGGCAGGCTTCCCGAGCAGAAGGGTGACAGGCAGCGGAGGCTGGGGAAGCAGGCTGCCTGTGAAGCTGCTCCTGGAGAGAGACTGGGGGGGGGGGGGCGCGAGCCACACCTTCACGGACACACTGCCAAGTGGGTTACAGTTCAGGATGCAGTCCGGAGCTACAATTGCGCCACAGAGGGCGATGCTGAGCAGCCAGCCGGGCACCAAAAGCTGGGGCCAGTGAGGAAGGCAGCCCGCAGGAGGAACACAAGCCGGAAGGGGGAGGAGGAGGAGGAGGCCCACCGCCCTTGCCCAAGGCCAGAGGCACCGGGCCCTCCCCCACTGGGGAGTGACTGCAGGCTGGCAAAACTGTTGGCGTGGGCCAACAAGCGTTTCCACTGTTCACAGCAACCTATGTTATCATTATCTTCACGTGTTCTTTACAGAGCTGGAACAGAGCCCGTCAGCAGGTTCAAAGTCCTCTGACAGGGGGCTCTTTTAAGCCAGAGATAATAAACATGTTGACACATGCTTGGGATGTGTTTTCCTCCTTAAAAGAAGAAGAGAAGAAAGGGCCAGAACTCTTTCCTGCACAGAAAACTGACAAAAACGGGCAGCTGGGAGCTTGACCTTCTGCCGACACCCAAGAAGAGGGGGGGGGTTTCCAGGTGAACAGACCCCCCCCCACTCGTGGCGCCTCTTCTCCCCTCCAGCTGAACACAGCCGGGGCTCCGGACAGATTTAGTCACCATGGGTCCAAAATGGCGGCAGCGCTCGGGGCCGCCTCCTGCCTTCCATCAGCGCTCCCGTGCCATGGGGAACTGCCTGCTCTGGGGCTGCCCCACCGCCTGGGATGCTGCATCGGCCCGAGGGCCGAGAGAGATAGCAGGAACCCTGGAGCACTTCACGAGGCAGAGGCACTTCGAGAAGGAAGTCCCAAAACTAGGCCAGCTGTAAGGACCGTGCCCAATCCACCAGGAAATGGCAGGAAGGGCAAATGGGAGTTTCAGTGTCCATGTGAGGCCAGGATTCGCCTGTTCATGGGAGACAAGAGGCCTGGCCAGAATCTGACAAAGGGAGAGCCTCGCTTGAGTTTTTAATGCATAGCTGTGTGAGATGGAGTTAAAGCGAGTCCTTCTCCTGCTTGCTCCTCCATCCCCTCCTCCCCAATCCCCGCATGGACAACCTCCCTGTGTCTGCAGGGGGCTTTCCTCCCCATCTTACTTACATACCTCTCTAGCAACATTGCTGGTTTTCACCTCCTGGATGACCGTGCCAAAGATGATGTACTCCACGGCTTCCTTTGGGACTTCGGTCCGATTGAGGAGGCCCCTGAGCGGAAAGCGTCAGAAGGAAAAACAACGGGGACAGGAAAGCAAGAACGTGAGCAGAGATGAGCGGCGACTCCTCTCCTTCCCCCCCCCAGGTGCCCCACTCAACACACTGCCACAGGAGCTGGTACTGGACCAGAAAAAGTCAAACCCACAACCACAGGGGCGGCAGCAATGAGAGAACTTGCTTCTCAACGTTCATGCATTTCTCCACTAATTACCGTCCAACCACCACCTCCTCCGCCTCTCTACAGGAACTCTACCCTTCAGATAAAGCTTTGTCCAATTCAGGCCTCAGAAACATTCTGGAATCATGGGCTCATTTGAGATAGGATGCTTATTTTCAGTTTTACAAAGAGTTTGCATGTCACGCAGGAAAACTGCTTTGGCATAGCTATACTGTTCTCTTCATAGCTATCATGGACCTTCATTTCTCAACTGAACAAAAAAAGAGCTTAGTTATGTTTCTTGGCCAAGCTTACAATTTGTCCATTTGCCTTCGGACCAGCGTTATCGCTCAGAGACGCTGCTATGTACGGACAATCCTGATTTAGGGCAACCCTGTGAACCAGTGGCCTCCAACAAGCCCCCTGCCGTCAACAGCCCTGCTCTCAGACCCAACAGCGTGGCCGAACCACTAGTCTGTTCGGGGAAAGCCCCCCCCACCGCCCTGCCACAACTGCAGGGTGCAACCTTGCAACTCAGAGGCTCCCCCCAAGCTATGCAGTTGTGTGCATGGCAGTAACACATCCTTCAGCTGAAAACCTTCCCCCAGGAGTGGCTAGAATTGGAATTTATATATGCCATTCTCGATGGTGCTATTGTGGGGGGCCACCACCCCACCTACTCCGTTACCTTCCTGAGCAAAAAAGAAACCAGATTTATTTATTTTTAAAGGACAGAAGGCAAGAAAGCCCCCCGGGGCCTCTGGCTCCATTCCCTAGTCATTTGCTACTTACTTCAGTGCAGCTCTGGACAAGTCGTGTGGCATCAAGTCTGAATACCTGAGGATCAGAGGGAAAGGAAGCGCACAGACACAAACATTAACACACGGACAAAGCAACTTGGTGGTGGTGGGGGGAGTTGTTTTGTTTGTGTTGCATTTTGAGAACCCAGTCCTCACAGACTTCCTGCCCGCCGGTGTCGACACCTTGAGAAGCCCAGAAAATGCCAACCAGAAACCAGGCCTTCTCAGCAGTGGCTGGTGTCCTCCGTCCGGAAAGCCCTCCCACAGAAGTGACGTCAGGCGCCCGCCCTTCCTTTGTGCCTTTAAAAAGCTCTCGAAAACAGAGCTATTTGGAGGGGCTTTGGGGGAGGCTCCCCCCCAATTAATTGGGAAAGAGGAGGAAGGAGATGAGAAATGCCCCAAAATGGTTATATAGCAATTTTATTGTTCGTTTCTTCATTTTCTTTGTGGTACACTGCACAGAATAGCAATTCGCTAGATGGGCAGCATATAAATGGAATAAGTAAATAAGTAAACAAACAAGCTTTTTTTGGGTGCTGTTTTGGTTCTTACACAACTAACAGAGAAGAACATGAATGAACGGTGAGTGGGTGGCTCCCACTGTCAACATCACATACTTCCCAGACTTCTTAAGTGTCAAGGATGTGCTTCACACTCACGTGGTTCCTGAATGCAAGAAGGGAATGCGAACGCCATCCACCACCACAATATTCTTCACTCCATTTTTGGCTAATGTTTTCTTACTCTTCGTCTGGGCTGTAGAAACAGGGCAGTAAACACCGGCTGTAAGGTCAAACCTAAACCAACATTTCTCTTACTAAAACTACAGGAAACACACAGGACTCCTTCATTTGAAAGAGCGCCCCCCCCACATCTTAGTCAAAACCATATGTTTCATTTCACACCAACTTCATCGTTTGGGGTCTTGGAATGATTCACCATCCCAAAAGACCAAGATGTTACAAAGCCCAACCTACTGACATAAAGTTTAAGAAGCTTCCTAAGCACCCGGCTCTGCCCTTCAAGCATCACGGTTATTATGCACCGTTGAGTGAACGTATGAAAGAAGGATGTCCTCAACCGCCCTGGTCAGATCTTGAAAACTCAAGGCTGTGGCTTCCTTTAGGAAGGCAGTCCATCTCAAGCTTGACGGTCTTCTCTTCCTCCTGCCTTCACCTTTTCCCAACATTATTTCTTTTTCCAGAGAATCCATCCCTTCTCATCACGTGCCCAAAGTAGACCTCGGCTCACATGGCTACCTCTTTGTTTTTTACCTGCTGCATGGAGCTGGGATGAACAACTTAGGGATCTCAGAGCTGAAATACAAAACAGAAGAGTATCAAAATGTAAAGCAAAGCAATTGACTTCCATGGATTACTAACTGCCACATCAACAACAAAAAATGTAGAAACTCAGGTTTGCGCAGGGATTCAAATGTACATTAAAAAAATCAGCACCTTTTAAAAAATGATTTCCAAGTTTAGCCACACGTTCCTTTTCCATTGAGGACTGTGCCAAAAAGAGCTCGCAATTAATAGCAATAAATACAAATATAAAGTATTAAAATTGGTCAGGGTTCCAAAAACATACCGTTTCCCTGAAAATAAGCCCTAGTATAATTTTTCAGAATGCTCGTCATATAAGCCCTATCCCCAAAATAAGCCCCAGTTAAGTGAAACCCCGCCCTCCAACCTTGTGCAGCAACAACCAGAAGAAGACATGACTGTATTTGAATAAATGTAGATTGTTGTACATGAAAAAAATGAGATATCCCCTGAAAATAAACCCAAATGTGTTTTTTTGGAGCAAAAATTAATATAAGACCTTGTCTTGTTTTCAGGGAAACACAGTATCAACAATTCAAAAGCAACACAATCAGCTGTTCAGATGGCATGCTGCTGTTCTGAACCAATCTTGACTATTTCGATGCGTGGCAACCCTATGAACGAAGGGCATCCAAAAGGTTCTGCTCCTTTATTGTCTACCTGCACAGAGCTTCACCATGGCCCTATTAGAATATAGAGAAAACTTTTTACCCCACCCGTCAGCAATTGCATGCATTTGGGATTTAACTTACAGAATCTGGCAGCGGCCCAAGGCGAGACGGACGGAAGGGTCTTGAGGGCGCAGGTCAGCATGGAGGCCATTTTGAAATCTGGAAGAGGAAGGGCGGATTAGAAAGCCAGCCGTTCATACTCACTTGCACATTGCTTTTGGGAGCCTGGCTGGCGGCTAGACCTTGAAAGGACAACAACAAAGGAGGGGCAGCAGCCTGACAGAGGCAGGCAAACAGCTGCTCTCAGCCAGAGCTAGCCCATCCATTATCAGCCAAGGTGGCCATTTCATCATGGACGTTTGGCTAAGCACGGTCCCCACTCCCTGCACCCCTCCCCAAGCCCTAAAGGCCCTCCGTCTCCTGGTCCTTCCCCCTTGCTAGAGGCCTTCCTACAGCCAAGAGGATCTCACACACACACACCCCCAGCCAGACTCAGGAGCTGCATTTTTGGAAACCCAGGTGGCTCCAGAGCACGGAAGCCATCCTGAGAGGGACCTGCTCTCTTGAGCCTCTTCTGCCCCTTGGCTGATCGATCTTCCTTTGCCTGCCCCAAATCCTGCCCAACCCCAACCCTCGACCCTTCCAAACTCAAATCTCCGAATAGGGTTCTGGGGTGGAATAACAAGCCCTCCTCTCCTGTCCCGGGGTTGGATCCTGTCCCATGTCTTTTAATCCTGGGGGTGTGTGTATCTCCTTATCAAGAGAAATTGATGTATTTATGATTTATTTAAAATTGTTGTAGTAGTTTAGTCATTTAGTCGTGACTCCATGGACCAGAGCACGCTAGGCCCTCCTGTCTTCCACTGCCTCCCGGAGTTGTGTCAAATTCATGTTGGTTGCTTCGATGACCCTGTCCAGCCATCTCATCCTCTGTCGTCCCCTACTCCTCTTGCCTTCACACTTTCCCAACCTCAAGGTCTTTTCCAAGGAGTCTTCTCTTCTCATGAGATGGCCAAAGTACTGTAGTTTTACCCCCACCTTTCTCCTTGAAAAGCAGCCAAGGTGACTGACATCATTAAAAGTCAGTATTTAAAGCTGACAACCTGAGCACACAATCAGAGTTCATTAAAAGACAATACATAAAGCTGATAACAAAGGAGTAGATAATTAAAAGACAATAGTGCAGCCAAGCACAATAAGAGAGAGATTATGAGGGGGTGCTGTTAAGTATTGAGCCTTACTCTTGTGCATGCAAATATGAAAAACATCCATGACATGATCATGGAGGACCTCCGAATATCAGCCAAAAGTATTGCTATATATCTGAGAATATCACATGAGAGAGTTGGTGCCATTATCCACAATGACTTGGAAATGAGAAAACGGCAGCAAAGTGGATCCCCAAACTTTTGACGACCGAACAAAAGAGGAAACGTGTGGGGATATCAGTGGCTGTTTTGGAAAATTTTGCAAGAAATGAGTCAGATTTCCTGGGCAAACTGGTAACTGGTGATGACACTGGATCTACTGTTATGATCCTGAGACAAAGGTCGGTGCAGAAGCAAATGGGAACAGTTTTCGGGGATAAGAAGGGAGTTCTGCTGGTGGACGACCTCCAACAGGGTTCAACCATCAATGCAAAATATTACTGAACTTTATTGACGAAGCTGAGGCAAAACATCACGGAAAAACATCGAGGAAAGCTCTCCAAAGGTGTCATCCTGTTGCATGACAACGCCTCGCCACACACTGCAGGTGAAACAATGACAGAACTGGCCTCCTTAGGCTTTCAAGGGGTGCCCCATCCACCCTATTCTCCCGACCCGACTCCTTCTGACTATTATCTGTTCCCCAAACTCAAAAATACACCTAAAGGGACAATGATTTGGGAGTGTTCTGGAGGCAACGAATGCTGCAAACGAGTGGTTACGCCATCAGTCGGAAGAATTTCATTTGCAGGGACTTAAGAAGCTGCAGGACAGACGTCGCAAATGCCTTGACTTCCTGGGGGAGAATATGTGGAATAGTGTGGCAGTTACAGCTGCCTAGCTCAATCTTTTTTTTTTTTCTGGGAAAGGCTCAAAACCGATCAGCACCCCCTTGTATATATACTGCTTGTGTCTTCCATTTTGTGGGTGTGTTTTATATAGATAAATAAATAAATAAGTCAGGAACCATCCGTCTGAAAGCCACAGACAAGGACGGAGCTCGTCTGCCGAGGGAAGGGCGGCCTCTAAATACGTGAAAGACAAAATACCGTACAGTACAAACCAACCCCAAACCGGGCCCTGCTAAGAGATCCCCTAAAAGGGACAGGCGGACAAAACAACCCTGCAGGGCAGACCGCCCAGGAAAGCCATCGCCTCCCCACCCCCACCCCGACGTGGCAGAGAAGTAATTTCGCCCCAAGGAACGAGGAGTTCCGTTCCTCCTCAACGGTAACGGTAACGGTAACGAACCAACGCCCCCGCCCAAGGCATGCTAAGCCCCGCCCCAAGTTCCGTCCCTCGAAGTCCCAGTCCCACTCCCCCCCCCGCCAGCTTCGAGGCGCCCCGCCAGGCCCGGCCAGGCCTNNNNCCTCACCGGGCGCGGCGGCGGCGGCGGCAACGGCTGCGGTTCCTCCTGACCTTCCCGGCCGCCTGCTGGGCCCGTTGGACACCCTCGAGGCCACGCCCCTCCCCCTGACGGCGCGCGTGCCGCCTGCCCAGAAGGTCCCCTTCGGCTTCCTCAGCAGGTTCCCCCCTTCTCTTCAAGGCCTCTACAGCAGTGCCTGACCGGATGTGCCTCTATCCCTCCCCACCCCCACCCCACGAAGGGGCGCTGGAAGTCTTCTCGTGAACAGCCGGGAAATCCTTTTCTCAGGAGGAGGCGGAGGACACAGGCGGCGGCGGCG